TATACAGCACTAAACACTGCCCAAAATCTGATAACGTGTCTCTGTTACAACAGAGACAGGTTATCCTCCTGGTGCTGCCTCAAATTACCACTGAAGACAAAAGGATTGATAGCAGAGGCATCCGGGTTTGTGAGCAGACCTCCAAAACTCGTTTGCCTGATAAAACAATTCTGCAGCTTCCTTATTATTCCAAAGGGGCTAGCTGCAGCTGCCTAGTGGCTCTGAACTGCAATTCCAGCCTCTTGTAAGTGGCCTAGCACAAATTGCACACTGTGCTTGGACACAGAAGTGGCACGTGGCTACATTTTGAATTACATAGATACGAAATAACACAGCTAGAGAAGAGCATTTTAGAATCAAGTTGTACTTCAGGGAAGCACGCATGGCAGGCCAAAAGCTCAGATTTCAGGCCAAAAAGGGGTTTAAGTTTTTACAGATGTCACCCTCAAGAAAATTCTAATGAGTAGCCAAACTTTCCACTCTTAGCCATGTTTGAAGCTATTTTCTTGATGAAGAATATTCTTTACAGTCATCAAAATTCAAAAATTGACCTGGCTGGAAGGTCAGCAAATTTAATGTAACTGATCAGTACTTTAACAACTACACTGGGAGAGGCTAGGGGGAGAGACACTGGTAGCTGGCACTCTCAGCCTTCACCCCACTCGAAGTACAGGATACATGTCATTAATAGTATCCAAACATTTACTGACACAAGATAATATACTCCACATTACAGCACCCTTTAAATCAATCTGGTAACAGAAGCTAGCTTGGACTGCAGCAGCTCATTTACCAAATATTGTATCTTAGTCTGAGTATGACAGCAGAACTCCAATACTTGAACAGGGCTCTTATCAATGCCTGGATGAAATTTATGATGCTATTCTTGATCTGTACAGCTCTAAATTACATGGGACTTGTCTATCTAGGAGACCACATGTCTCCCCGTGCCACGCTGCCACAGCTGCTGTCAGCAGAAAGACTCACACCAGACACATCTGGTATTAAAGAAGGGGAAAAAAATGTGAGTTGTCAGCAAGACTGACTCACTAGGGGACAGGCTGCTTTGCAATTTACTCCCACCTTTAGTTTGAAATAGCTAAAAATCTATCGACCCTTAAAACAGGCTAAAAGGTATGCTGCTTTCCCAGGAACATAATCAAGAGTAATATTTTTAGAGGCATCTGAAAACCATGCTTGCTTTCTAACCCCTGATTATTTTCCTTTTGTTAGGATTATGAATAGGAAAGTAATCTGAGGTCTTTATCTTTTAAGACACTGTCCTTTAATCTAACACCTAGACCCCAGGCTCATTTTACTGAAACAGGATTTCAGATAGCATTATAGGAAAGAATAGCATAGCAGAGGTACTCTGATAGCTCTTCTTTTATTTGTTACAAAGTGCTGGCCTTTCTCCAGTTTAGTTTGGTAAAGGATACAGGTAACACAGTATGTGCGTGTATGTTAGTTTGATGAGACCTCTGAGCAGGACCAAAAGATGTCTGCTGTTAAACCTAACAGGGAGACAGCTATTACACTTGAAAATCATCTTTTCGTGATCCGCTTGCCCATCCCTAATTGGTTCAGTTAATTAGTGCTAGGATACAAGCCTTAATGGCAAATGTTAAAACAGATGAAGCTGTTTCACAGGAGGGGAACTGCCTTTTCTGAAGCAGAGCATCACCTAATGGGTATCTAACTCTGAGGTTATCTCTATTTTGCAGGTAAAATAATGAAGGCCAGTTCTACAATAAGGCATTCACATTTTATCTGTGTGGTTACAAGGTATACCCAGATCCTAGTAAGACTGCTGCACTTTTCCAGCCTTAGTACAAATTATAAATAATGATTCATCGGGGAGCAGAAAATTTCCTGAGGAACCACAAGGGCATTTCTCAAAATACAGCAGGAAAGCAAAAAAATAAGTCTATTTTTCTTATACAGAAACCAGAAATAAAGTAAACACATAGCAACATTTGTGAGCGGCTAAAAAGCTGTCTTGTTCAGTTATCACCTACAGGAATCAGTCCTCATACATTCATATAACGGTGATTAGCATTCCATAACTGGATCTTTTCCATCAATCACTAGCAAATCAATTGTTTTCGCATCTGCTTGTAGCTTGTATTTCCCCAAAAGGATCTCAGTGATCACATTGTTTTTCCATTTTCCAATGTACTGTCTGACCTTTTCCCTCAAGGCCTTGCACAATTCACTTCAGTCAATCACTTCTTATTGATGGTTAGCGCTTGCTCATTCCCCATCTATCTGTTTTACTGGATATAGTTTGTTTTGTTTCAGGTTTTTTTCAATATGTCCTGTCATCCACTCACTGCTCTTTCCACCCTTGCTGCTTTAGATTTCTCATTTAGCTTTGTACTTCTGACCTGTTCAACTTTCATTCCAGTTCACGTCTAAATTCCATCTTCTTCAGCTTATCCTTTCTTTTGTACAATACCTCCATACTCAAAACAAACCAGCTTTCAGCAGGCCAGTCTTTGCTGAAGACCTTACATAAAGTGCTCTTCTTTTGTGAATTTAGAGGGTTCTAGCAAAAAATCCTTTCTTGGTTTATAATTTCTCCTGACTTCTGTTTTGTGTCATACATAGAGTTTAGCACTGCATACACTTTCTTCTTATTAGGAAGAAGCAAAGAGAAGATAGAGTCCCTGGAAACATTTTTTTCACAATACATCCAAAGTCAAATCATGCCTGGTAACATGAAGATTCACCTACTTTCTGCAGGGCTCATTTGCAGCTGCCATCTTACCTTGCTCTGCTTCATGAAGACTGACATGCTTCTTTCTCCTCCAAAGCTCTGCAGCAGTATCAGATAACTGCTTCCTGTTGCACCACCACAGAAGAAATGTTGACCATGTATTTCCTTACATGCAGTCGGGAGTCAGTCTTAGCCTCACATACAGAAGAATCCCTCTTTTCTAGTTGGCCTTTTCACCCATCACAGCAATTGAGAATCTCTTTGGTCATCTCAACAATAACTGGACATCATTAACCAGCAGAGGCTACATACAACAGTGCTATCATGATGACTGACAAAAGCTGAGCACTGTGGTCCAGGCAACTTCAGCAAAGATTTCAAGTGAAATTTTTGCCTTTAATGCAAGACTTTCTTAGCTGGAAAATCCTCAATTCACTTTATTACAACATTGACCATTTAGCTGATGGGAAACTTGGACTTAAACCTGCTCTTCCAGTCCCCATATAAAAGCAGAAACGGATTAATATAGAAAGACTTAGGGTTTAAAGAGGGAGTAGCTTGGAGGAACATCTCCCCAGTCCTTTCTTTTCTTGGAATTCTGTTTTCTCTGACCATTCCCTCTGTTACTGTCTCATTTTTTGGACATCACAATCATGACCAAAAGAAACAGTGATGCCTGCTTACTGAGCACCTAGATGATGAGCCACTAATGACAAAAAGCCTTCTTTATACCAACAAACTTCTTCAATGCACTGACCCATGGCACATTCAACACAGGACCAAAAGAGACATCCTTAGAAATCTTGACAATAGATCTGCAGGGATAAAACAGTGCAGCTTTACAGCAGCTTTCTGCTTGAGATCACACTAGTACACCCAAGATGCCAAGAGAATCACAAACAGTCCCTATCAGAAAGGAGAGGGGACTAACAGAAGATTTAGTAGAGAGAAATGGTTGGTGCTAAATACTCCCTTCCACACTACACTCATTTCAAAGGGGCATATTTCCAACTAGTTCTGGTCTGGACCTGTAGAATGCACACCTTCTAGCGTCTGAAATGCACTGAGTGAGCTCCCTGAGGGCACTCATCCTTCTAGCTTTATCTGAAAGAAACCAAATCCACGTGCTCCAAAATTGTTCTGCATTGTAAACCAAAGCATGGTAAGAGGGAATGACTGGAGTATTTAAAAGCACACAGGTTGATGCTCGTGTCTTGAAGTTAACTGAAGAAGCTAAAATTCTAAATTCCATACATCGCTGACATATATATTGAATTCATGCCGGTATGGAAGAGTCAGTGAGCTTGCTGTATCCTTCTGCCCCTACACCTTGACAGCAAATCAGACCCACAGAGCCAATAACCTCAGAGTCCAACAGCACAGACTGTTATGTCAGGAATCTTTCCTCTGAACATGAGGTAAAACTTCTTTCCTTTGAGGGTGACAGAGCACCAGAACAGGCTGCCCAGAGAGGTTGTGGAGTCTCCTTCTCCGAAGACTTTCAAAACCTACCTGGACATGATCCTGTGCAACATGCTATAGGTGAGCCTACTTTAGCAGGGGAGTTGGACCAGAGGTCCCTTCCAGCCCCTACCATTCTGTGATGCTGTGAATTCCAAAATAACTTACTTGTCCTTTCCCATCAGTCTGCATGCTGGTGCTGTTAAGCCAATCACTTCACAACAGTGTCAACCCAGAAACAGAAGTTGTTTAAGCAAGAACTGGGGATAGGAAACATGTTATGTAGCTGTTTACTAAAAGCAAGTGGAGATTTTGCCAATCTGTTTTCCCTACTAAAACTCTTTATAGGCTTTCACAACTATAAATACACCAGAATGGCAAATGTCGACAGGGGCTGAAGTTGTGATGCAGGACTTCTCCCAACCACTGGCTGCCAACGAATGATGCTGGAAGGGTAATGTCAGTAGGACTGATCTATCTGAAATTTCAAATCAGCTCTCTCTTTACTACAAGTGAAACTCCTCATGCTGGGAACAGAAAAGGAAAGCTCTTCATGTCTTCCTTTTTCTCTACTCTGAAATTAAATGAAAAAGGAAATGCCCCTGTTGAATCTCCTCCTCCTTTCATGTTTCTTACAAGAACATGTGGGTATAGATCTGTGGGTGGATGTTTGAGAACACTGCATGCTCTTCTACACAACTGTATGGTATGGTAAGGTTAGTTTATTGCCTTTCATGTCTGACAAGATGTAAGAAAAGAAATTTAATTTTCTGAAGAGTACTAGCTTCATTTGAGTAAATACAAGGAGAATTCAACTCACCGTCTGCAAGAACTGCTTCATAGACGTAAGACAAAGAGTCTCCAGGATTTTCATTCTGTGGCTCACCTACGAAAAAAGAGTAATTCTGTAATGGTATCTACTTGGAAATATCTTTAACTGGTCACCAACTCTGATGACAGTGATCACTGTCATCCTAATTGATTGTTTCACAGAATGTTTAGTTTGCTCTAAGGAAGATCTTAGCATCAGAAATCAAGCTAAAAAAAAAAAAGAAACAATTGGCAAAATAAAACAGAGTTAAGAAAACAAATGGACAAGCAACCTAAAACCTCAGAAATTATGCCAATTTCCACTTTCTTTTTTTAGATTAAATTCTGTATGTTATTTTAGATGTAAGATAAAGCTATTTTAAGGCTACAGTTTTGCAGCTAGAAAAAAAAAATCCAAAGACTAGTGGAGAAGAAAAGCCTAGAGAGATCTTCAGATAGAATGGTATTTATCCCTTTTCAGTAAACATCCTTGTGACTGATCTTTCCAGTTTACTATAGCAGGCAAGAAATATGGGCTTGAGGAAGAAAAGTTTCCCTGAAAGTCAATATAGCAAACAATGGGAGAGGAGTTGGGCAAAAGGAAAGAGAATAGAATGAGGTGCAGGAAATTTAGAAATGGAAAACGGATGCAGGTATTGTGGTTTGGAAGACAACTGTGCAGGGCTGTGTTTGATAGTACAAGAAATGTGGCCACAGAGTTCCCAGTGCTGGGTCAAAAAAAGCAATGTCCACATTAAGTAAAGTTCTGGTCAAATATTAAAGAACTCTGTCAGTTCAATTTGTTGAAATGATTTTGATGGCTTAATAACTACCCAGAGACTTTGTGCCACATTATGCTATATGTGTCTATGGCACTTTTTCTTTATGCTGGATCAAGGTACCGCCTGTTTTTCTTCATCTAAGGTAACACTGACATAAGAGGTATCAGGCCTGCTTGAGCTCCACACTGTGAGATCCAGCTAACTCAAAGATGCTGTTGTAGAGCATCTGTGGGATCCTGATCAGGATCCCATGTATATTGCTGCGTGCTCCAGAAGTGTATAACCAATATTACTACAAAATTGAAAAGTAAGTCACTGGGTAAAGACGCCAGTGCTAGGATGAAAAGAGGAGCCTTAAGGTTGCATAAAACCAAACACTCAAAAGCAGTCTTTCTCCTTTCTAATATATTTATATATACTTTAAAAAGACTATTTCTTTTAAATTGATCTGTACTGTGGACAGTGCACAAGTTAGACCTACTTTGGCACTGACTTGTGGTTTTGTACTCAAAGAAGGTGGTGTCTACCATATTCTGATTCAGTTATTCTTGTTATAGATAACAAGAGTCCAGTGAATGAGGAGAGGATTCCAGAGAGAGAAAGGACAGTGATATTAGCTGATTGCTGCTCTAGAGAATTTAGGTAATTTCATGTTCCCATTCTGAAGTTTTGAGGCAGAAGCCAGAAGGCTTTTAAAACATGCTTTTCAGAAGTGCTCGTCAGTTTTGTACTGCACTTTCTTGAAAGACCTTACAGCTGACCTGTGGACATCCAAGCAGTCACAAATGCATCTGAAATTAAAGGCAGTTTGAATACGGATGTAAAAAATACTGTATACTGGTAAGTGTTAAGAAAAGTAGTATCTTAAAGTAGTATCAGAAGTGGAAGAAATGCTTCAGCCTAATTTGCTAAATACAAGCATGTAAAATGATGACAAAATAAAACAATGTTTGGACAGCACTCAATACAGAAAGGAGTTCTACAGGAAAGCACATTAGGAAATTAATAATTCTGTTTTCTCAACAGGATTTGAATGGCATTCAACATATAAATAATGCAACCATAAACTCAAACACAAAACAAAGTATCAAATAACTGCTAATTAACCGAGCACTATTTATCCTGTATACTAATGAGGGCAGGTTCTTGGCAGGGAGCTGGGGTGTGGGAAGAACGCACTTACATAATTAAGGGCAATCAATGCTACGAACAAGGATCCTAACTAAAGTTTAATCAGCCACTTTGTACCTTTAAGTTTTTGACTTTTGAACACATAACTTTGTAACTGTAGTAACATTTTCTGGACGAAGTTCTGCCCTCGTAGTCTTTTAAGTACAGAGAGACCCTACCAAGCACAAAATCTAATTCCATTAAAAAAGCAGGAATTGTTCTTTTGCTATCCTAATATTGATTCTTTTTTTCCAGTAGGAACTTAACTAGGTGCTACACTTCATTTTTTCAGGGACAGGTGTTACAAGTTTTTTAATCTGGAAAACAACATGACTCTGATTTTATCCTATTTCCAAAAAGCTGACACTAACTTAACAGAAATATATGATGGTAAAATTACAAATAGAAATTTCGTTATAACAAGACTTGTGTGCCAAAAAATACAAAGAATGCATTTCCAGAGGACTTCTCTAGACACCTTCCAATGATAATTTTTCAGTAACTGTGATTGGTAACCACAGTGCAAAATCTGACAAGAATCAATAATACATTATATGAAGGACATAGAATCATTCAGGTTGGAAAAGACCTTTGAGATCACCCAGTCCAACCATCAACCCTACTCTGCCAAGTACACCCCTAAACCGTATCTCCAAGCACCACATCTAAACGACCTTTAAACACATTAAGGGATGGTGACTCAACCACCTCCCCGGGCAGCCTATTCCAATGCCTGGCAATCCTTTCAGTGAAATGTAAGGCTATAGATTTACACAGCCATTTTACAGTTCTAGCTGCAAAATACCTGCTGGAAATCTTAAATTATTTGTAAGCTCTAGAAAGAGCCTCACAACAGCAACTAAATACTGACTGATGACTGCTGTGCCATAAACAAGACATAAATTTGGATGATGTCCACCTGCAACCTTGAAAGAGAGACTAATGACGATAAATCCATTAATTCATTAAAAAAAATTAACTTAATAAAATACAGTAAATAAAACACAGTAAAATCACAGCACATTAATTTAAATTAGTACATGCTGTTGCAGTAATGCTTATGTTCTAGCCATTTGACTTTTATTATTAATAAAACTTTTTATGAGTTTGTCCTAAATGCTGTTAAAAAACATTCACTTTAAGATGTCAGTGCATTTACTTTTCCAAGTGTAAGCAGTTTTCATCCAATTAGTGTCAAAAGTAAGAAGAGAAAACATCACATACATGATGCATACTTCAGAATCCAAGGGTACAGGTCACCCTGACACATTGAAACATGAGCTGCTAGGGAACCTGATTGTATAAGAAATAAAGTCTCCTCTGGATTTTGCAGAAATAAGAGAGGAAACAACAAACAACTCAAACAGTTTAGGCAGCAGGGGATGGCAGTCTCAACATCCTATCTATGGTTGCCACTTCCAGGCTGTCACTTCAGTTCTGGTTTGAAATAGCCAGGATCACGTGCCAGATGAAACAAGTTAGTGACACTAATCAGTTTTTTGTTGACAGTCATCCCTGTTACAAATTCCCATCCCTGCCCTGCCATCCCAGCAATCATTCTGTGTGGTGATGGAGAAACACAATGTCTCAGGAAGATTTATTAATCTGTTAATCTTAGCAGCAGTCCCTGCAGAGCAGTTCAAAGACTCACCGGCAGGACAAAATGGAAATGAGGATTATACCGTAGCACACTTCAGCTAACAAAATGTCCCTTCTGCTCTTCTGCTTATGATAAATTCATACAGATTATTTTTGTTTCAATAAAAGTTTAATTGGCATTTGAGATGCTCCTCAATGAGCAGATGATCTCACTGCCTTAAAGCACCAACAGTGGCACACACTGTCTGAATGTAAATACATTGGGGAAGGAGGAAAGGTAGGCACAACCATGTAGTATCATCTACCACAACCTCCCATGGCAGGGTTGGCCAGAACCACCTATCAACTTCTGTCTGTTTACTCAATCTTGCATGTCCATGTGAGAAATCTTTACAACCAGGACTTCATTTCACACACACACAAAATCATGCTGTATTCAGTACTCAGAAACAAACAAGACCAAAAATTCTAGTGACTTTGTTTCCTCTTCAACTTTGTTTTTTGTTAGCACTTTAGCTTCATTTCTTCATAGACTCCAAGTCAGTGTCAAAATCCAGGTGAAACACTTGCCCGCTGAAGACAATGGTAAAGTTCCCCCTCAAATGAAGGGGTTTAGCTCATCAGCTCAAGTCTGGCTGACAGCCTAAGAAAATCCATTGCCATTTTGAGTACCAGCATAAAGAAGATTTTACAGGAGAACAAGCAAACCAGTGGATGAAAAATATGAAGTATTACTTCCGTATTCAATGTTATACCCAAATTCCTGGTACAATTCCAATAAAATCTTTGCTACTGTATTAGAAGTGAAACAGGAGACAGATACCATAAAAGCTTATGGTAAAAATACAGTGATTTATTTCTCTTTTCTGTGACCAGTGGAAATCAGCCCCATACTTGAAGTGGGCTGAAGATACATGTTAAGATATATGTTATGAATGCGTATGTTAAGCCCTATTTTAAGCTTCCAGCCTATTTGTCCTACGTTTACCTATTAGAGACAAATACCTAATGCTAGTAGCTCATTATTCCAGATGTATACCTTACTAGTAGCTGCAAAAGCAGTTTTCTTAATATTACTTTTCTTGGTGATTAAAATCGTGTGCAGGCACACTGAATATTTTTTAATCACAGAATCACTAGGCTGGAATAGACCTCTGAGATCATCAAGTCCAACAAGGTAACAATCAGAAATTACTAACTATATTGCTGTCTCAGGTAGAAGTTACATAGTCATTCTGAGAATCTTTCCTGGAATGTCAAAGATCATGGAAACAGTTTTCTAGTAGGGTTATGTTATTTTATGTACCTCTTCTCATTATAGCAGATAAGGAATGGATACATGTAGGTTTGTTGAGTGGTTCTCAACTATCAAATTTTATAGAAGTAGATTCTCTTCAAATTTTGGCAAAAAAAGAGGGTACCACTGCTTAGAGAAAAGGCTGGAAGTAGAAGTAACAAGAGTAGTTTTGTTGAACAGTGAACAATGAAACCTAATCAACTAGCAAGCAGACTAATGGATACTTACGACTCCTGATCTATACTGAGGAGTCCCACCAAAAAGTCTCATAAAAGTGTCAGCACACTTCAGAAACATTGTCACAGAAAATCATTTGTATTAGATAAGACCTGTTCACTTTCTGCATCATCAATACTAAGGCACAAATAACTACAGGACATTTAAAGATCTAAGTAACTACTTCCAGCTGCATATAATTATCTATTATCTACAAATCCTCTGCTTAAACATATGGCTAGCCTGAATTTGAAGCGGAAGTGTTTCAGGACTAAACAAAAAAACCAGCTATGTCTAGGCTAAAAATTCCCAGGGTACCGAATTAATACAGTGAAAGTACATCAATTTAGTATAAAAAGAGGTACACAGTTCAGCAGACCAAGGAGAAGTTGTAGAAAGAAAAAGAGAAAAGACAGATGCAAACAAAATGTGTCCCATGATTCTACTTTCAGCAATAGTAGGAAAAGCTGTTAAAGAAAAGTCAGAATTCTAGAGTCACAGTGGGCCATCGTAGATGTTAATACAGGATAACAAAATTTCTGAGTGCTCTACTCTTTCCAAGAGATTTATCTTTTTTTATGACAACATAAAATTCAAAACCAACTCTAAATCTGAATGTGGCAGTTTCAAACAATGAAGTATTTTGTGAACAAGTTCTGCTAAAGGAATCTTTTGACAACAATAAAAGTATTTGCCTTCCTCTTCATGCATAAGATAAATATAATAAGATCTGTCATCAACCAGGAAACATACGTTAGAAAGTCCAGTTTCCATGTCTCAGTTCTCCCTCTACTCCTTCATGAATGTGCTCAAACAGGAATGACAGACCCTTCAGATTTTGTGTTTGAATCACATTACAGAGCAAACAAGCCCTCTGCTTGGTTCCAAAAAAACCCTGCATCTTCCATTCTATTTGGTTTTACTGAGCATTTTAATCAGTATTTGGCTTCACTTAGTATTTTTGGCATATATACTACCTCAGATGTAGAAGGAAGTTTCAACAGACAAAAGAGCCCTAACTGCTCCAACAAGATGAAACTGGCACCATCTGGTAGGCAAAAGGTTTTGGCAAAATAACTGGGTGTAAGGCGCATATAAAATTAGGTTTATTTTGCTTTCCATCTCACGACCATAGAGACAGTTCAAAGAGAATGGTTCTAGGGGAGAAGAGACAGATGAGAACTCACCTTGCCTAGGAACTTTGCAGAGTATGGAGAGAGCTGCAGTGGAAAGGTGGCGATTTCTAGCAGCTAAGCTACGCCATTATTAACACTCTTCAGGTCTGTGAGGTAACAATCTGATTTAGCATCCATCTTCAGTTGTTCTAACCACCCACAAGGCGCTCCTGAGCCCTGGCATCAATTAGACCTAGGATCTCAATGACTCGCTGTCCTAAGGGATTAACAGAATTTAGCTGTGGTGGTGCACGACAGCATGGTGCCATGTAATCATTGTAATTAAAGCACATCACTAAATTTTTAGACTTTGTAGAGTGACAGCTCTTGTTAATATTGAGGAGACAAGATGGTACAGATGCATGGAGAAACAAGTTAACAGCAATGAATAGTTTAGGGAAAAAAAGGAACAGAAAAGCACGAAGCATACCCAAAAGTGTTTTTACCACTATCTCCAAAAGCAGAAATAGAAGGGGATAAGGGATAAGCACTGAAACCTAAATAATCCAAGTATACTTAATAACCCCTTAGTGAGGCATTTTAAATACAAGGGAAAAATCTTTTTCCCAGATGTGTAATCTGTCAAAATCCCTGCCACAGATATCACAAAGTCTAAGGGCTTAATAGGGTTCTACAAAAGAGTATCATAGACACAGACACTCCAGTCACCATCATCTTTAAGCAAAGGTGAATAACGGTAAGACATACACATCTTCATTCCTCAGAGCTTAAATCAACACCCAGGCAATTGCAAATCTTGCACTTGGAATACTTTCACTGTACAACAGAAAGCAGTGCAGAGGTCTCCTAGCAAGCACTGATCTGAGCTGGCCTGCCTGATGCCTAGGGCACACCAGTACAGAAAAAACAGGGCCAGAGAAGGTCTCTGCTATGTGTATGAAGGAGGGCTTACACCCTAAAGCACCAGGCAGCACCACTACACCCAGTCCTGGATCCAGTTCAGTCAACTGCAGTCTATGCATCCTTGGTAAAGATGCACACACTGAAACTGAGGCCTGCCTATTGATTAATTCAGCTTTAATACTTGTCTCCGAAGTTGCTGATATCGACCACTGCCAAATAAAAGATCATTTGCGCACCTGTTAGACACTTGACATTACACTGTAAGTAAAACCCCAAGGGCAGATGCAATAAATACTTCTGTGAATTCACAGACCTAAGCAAAGAACTGTCTTCTAGGAAACTGATTATCTTTGCAGAAACGTTTGCAATTTCCTGTGCATGAGTCAACTGACTGTCTCTGGGCCGAGTTTGTTCCTATACACAGACACACACATTAGTATAGAGACACTGTTTTCATTCCACTAAAAAGCTGCCCAGGAACTTCAATCTGATGCTATGTATCAGACGCAGTGAGAAATTGCAAACATTACCTCCTGAAACCAAACCAGGCAACTGTAATTAGCCCCAAAACTTAAACTCTTGAGAGATGCTCAGGAAAAGATATATTGAGGAAAAGGTTAATAAATACCAAACAGCATGAAATGTTGTAACAGGAGATGGCTGGGAAGGAAGAGTTTAAAACTTAGTTTTGAAAGCACTGATCTGATATAGCCAGACTGTGTGTAGACACATCCTAGGCAAGTTTGAAAGCCTTACAATATGCTTAAGCTTATCTGCTCAAGCACAAGGCAGCAGGGACATGCAGCTAGCTCACTCTGACTCAGCTGGCGTCTCTCTACCCCTGTGTTCAAAAGAATATTCTTGGTTGTTCATCTGCATCCAAACCCAGGTTAATTTCTGACTAAAACTCCTGAACTGCAGGATGTCTTTCTCAAGCACAAGCTCCCACACCAGTAAAATGGCACCTTGCAGGTAAGAAAGACAGAAGCACAATGTTCTGCTTAGCAGACAAAATCATGACAAAATAGCAAGGGCTGAGAGGAGGTAAGAGACCCATAGACTACAAAGAGGCAGCAGTAAATATCTCTCAAAGCAAAACACACAGCCCTCTACCTGAAACCTGTGCACAACTTACACCATGTTTCTAAAGTGGCCAATGCATCTGTCTTTGTAAAGTTATTTCTTGGTTTCACTTGTGCAGCCTGGCAAAGTTAAACTGGGTTAAACTAAACCATTTGCACAGACTTTGCCATTTTAGTACCTCTCGCCCTCAGGAGAGGGGTTTTTCTTACATTCCAGAAGTGCCAATTATTACATTAATGCTTCTTTGCAGTTTCCATGGATGTGCAAACACATACAAACTAGAGAGTTTTAGTCCTTCCAGCACAGAATTATTACTTGGGCTGGTAAAACGAGAAGGGAACTTCTGTGCTTCGAGCTTTTGTGTGTAACACAGGAAACTATGCCATCCATGAAACTGGGTCTTACTCAGTAAGTATTTTTCACTCTGTCAGATTTATCTAAAGAATTATATATACTCACAATAAGGCATTTTGAAAGAGATGAAACATAAACCCACAGTTCTGCACAGTTTCTGAGATCTATAAACTTGTGAAACAGACAAACAAGTGTATGTCAGCTCTTCAATCTTACCGCGAATTAGTGACAGTAGGTTTACAGGTGCTCATGGCAGCTTTTAGACTTTCCAAAGCTGCTTCCCTGCGAAAATGAAGCCAGACTAAGAGTACACAGTTTCATAAAACTTCAACAACAAATGCATCAAACTAAAACTGTTGGATCAAGCTGAAGAGAGATAATTTCTCCTGAAAATCTGAATTATCACTTTTTTTTCTCTTCTAAATGATATTAATACAGCTAAGAAAAGTCTTTTAATAATCCCACAACGTTTTCAGCTTTAGATTACCTGGTTGAATAATTCCAGTAACAACAGAGAGATATTCTTCCGGTTCCTGATCAGTGGAAATCTCTTTGATACCTCCATCTAAGGTCAGTATCTCATAAAGAATCTTTGAATTCTCCACCCCACAAAGTAGAATCACCACATTATCCAGAGGTTTTAGAACTTGTTCCAGAAAATAACTTGTTTTTCGATTCAGGCAGTTAAGAAGTCCACATGATAGTATCAGGAGTTTACATTTATAACACGGTAAAGAGAATAGCTCCTGGTGCTTGAAAGATGAAGTCTCCAGATTGTACAGTAAGATTCCTCCTTCATTCACTATGTGTCCAAAAAGAGATTTTAAATACAGAGCCCACGCTTCTGCTTCTTGTTCATATATCACGAGAATATCCTTTGTATTTTCTAGAGAGAAGAAAACATTAAAAAAAAAAATTTCAGATGCATTTCAAATCCATTATAAATATCAGAAGACAGATCATTAGTTTTCTCCACTCTTAAAAACTTGAGGTGCTGAAGAAACAGGGCAGGTCATCTTGAAATGACAACCATCTGCTTATTTCTCGACCAAGGCAGAAAGATTGTCCACACAAATGCTGGTAAAATAGCTCAGAATATTTTATGTTTAGAATAGCTTCAACTAGTATTTCAGAATAAATACTGAAGTTGCAGTGTAGAAAGCAGAGTGCATTCACACATTCTGCTCTCTCCTAGATTCTTGACAAGTAAGAGATACTACCAAAAAATGCAACTGTTAGCTTTTAATGGCAGAAGTAAAGAAAATACATTTGAACACTGGACACAATCTGACCTAATTAGAAAGCGGATTAGTATGTTTAGGATATTTTGGCAGCATGGTATTAGGATAGTTGTTAGTGATCTTTCTTTACTGTCCTTATTCTAAAAAAATTACATTGTAATAGAAGGAAATGCAGCTGAGCATGAACTTAAAATGAGATCTGACAAAAATAAATCTAGAACTACATTTTTTTTTAGTTGTGCTTTCCCTTTAAGATGTAAATGCTAGATGTTATGCTAGTAAGAAGACTAATACTCTTCCACAGTGTTACTAGGGTGACAGTATGAAACAGGCAACAGGCACAAGCTGAAACACAGGAGGCTCCCTCTGAGCATCGGGAAAAGCTTTTTTTACTGTGAGCACTGGCATAAGCTGCCCAGGAAGGCTGTGGAATCTCCATCCTTGGAGCTACTCAAAAGATGCCTGGACATGATCCCGGCTCTAGGTACCTTGCTTGAGCAGGGGCGTTGTACAAGCTGGCCTCCAGATGTCCCTTCCAACCACAACCACCCTGTGATTCTGTGAAACCACAAATAACTGTGATTTGCTAACCAGTAAAATATACATTAAAATGTCAGGGTAGCTTAATACCTCTGGAGTAGTTCACAATCACAGCCCTGTGAAGCAACCCAGGAATAGCTACAGCTGCTGCACTTTACCTCCACTGAACTTCACTGTGTCTCCCAGGCTCCTGATGGGTCAGGCAACCTGACTGACACTTGTCTGCAGTGCACCAGAGCTTCTTTGCAGGTGAGTATCTAAGCTGCTGCTTTGTGAGTATCAAGAGATATGGAAAAGGTGGGCATACATAGAGTTAAAATGTTTCTTGGGCACACAATGGATCTGGACAGTGGGATGCACTGTTGGAAGCATAGAACAGATGTAGCTAAGGAGAATAAAAAAAACTTGTCAAGGATCCCATGTAAGTCTTGTACAAAATAAACAACTTAACCTAGATCTCCAGTCCAGGATTACTGCTTTAATTACTGGACTTCCCTACTTTTTAGAAGAAATTATTTCTAAATTTTGTTCATTCATTCGTTACTCAGGAGATATTTCAAACAAAGCTTACCCAGCTGAAGGCTGACTGAAACTTCCTGAATAGGGACACTATAGCTTAGTCTCTTGAGTTCATTATATGTTTATAAACTGTTCAGAGGATAGTTGCCATCTTTTAAACATCTGTGAATACTCATCCTTTCAAAGTTTTCTGTCATAGGAAATCATATAGGGCCATGCTCAATACGGTACTGGGTGACGATATTTCAAGATGACTGACCCTGACCAACAAACTAGAGCAGGGTAATATTTGTCAAAATATATTTGGAAAGGTGACTGCTACATTTTCCATGGTAAAACCATTCCGAAAAATGCCTGTTTCTGCTGAAATGCCGAAGCTTAATTGTAAAAATAAATAGTAGTGTATTTTTCATTTAACTCAGAGCAAAGTTATGTGTTTTATGACACTAGGATGAGAAACTTACTTGCTGCCATGCTGCAACGTTATTTGTTTTCAGAATCTCATTTGATTTTCCATAACTCTTACCAAAAAAAAAAAAAAGTAGAAACAAAAGGCTATGATGCCGCATAGTTTCAAAAGAAGAAATTGTATTAACAGAGCTGTAAGGTCAAAAGCTCTTTCAGTCACCATTTCATATCACAAGAAATGGAATTACCAAGCACCTCCTATTTTCAGTCCCGATTTACTAAAAGCACTGTAGTGGTCCTTTAAAAATATGGAATTATAAAGGATGCTTAATCCATGAAGAATATTTAAGAATTCATTCTTTACACTCTGTTTGAATCTGTGTAGTTTCAACTTCCAGCCATGGAATATAATTTTAGCTATTTCTGCAAGCTTAAAGAAGTATTTGCTCTCAGAAATCTGTCCCCTAAAGTCTTCAGACTCTCACGAAGTGACTCTTAGCCTTGCTTTCATTACGGTTTGTAAACTGGGATTATTACTCTTCCCACTACAAAAGAGGCTTTGTAGAACTCCTACCATTCTCTCTGCACTTCTGCGAACTCTCCTGCCTGTTCAAAATACATTTTCAGGAATCCGAAACTATATACAGGGTAGGAGTCGCTTGTGCTTGATACAGTGTATGGGAAGAATAAAATAACCTCACTTGACGTTACCTCGGATATGCACAGAAAGTTCACATTCAGTCTTTAAGTTAAAAGGTCTCATTTTAAATTCATGCTCAGCTGCGTTTCCTTCCATTATGATGGACCTGAGTAAAGACACAGCTAAGTGGAATTGCAGGGACAGATAAAAAAGCATGTTGAAATTGAATGGTAAAAACATTCACAGAATCTTGGTGTCCTGATTGCAGAGAAGAGGAATCTGCTGGTATCTTCCACAGCATTCACTTGGCCAAGAGCCTAAGTTTCCTCTCAATGTAGGAGAGCACTGATAAGGAATGGCGCACAACCGCAACTCATCTCTGTGCAGACTGGAAGCATCCAAAAGGCATTCCCATACCCCAGAGCAGGAAAGAACTGCTGGACCCAACCATTCAGGCACAGCTGAGGAGCTCCCTATGTGCTAGGTGTGGAGGAGTAAGTCCTTCAGTAGAAATACTCTTCAAGGGCTGACATTATATAATAATCCTAACAGAAATATACATAAGGTATAAAGTTCACCCCTGTGCAAATGGACAGGACAAGGCTTGAGTATTCAAGAAATTCTAAAGATAAAAGTAAGGAAGTTGCATTGAATTGATAAAAGAAGATTAAGTAATTCTATTTCCATACACTAGATCTGCACCTAAGTCTGCAGCTTTGATCTCAGCTAAGTGTGAATGAGAAAGGGGTTTTAAGACGTTTATTGAAGGCTCAGCTGCATTTATTTTAAATATATCGATTTTTAGATATGAAAAAGAAAGCTTTATTTGTGTAAGAAAAGGGAGTGAAATATATCTAACACCATACTTGATGGAAGAAAGGCTCAGAAACATACATCTCATGAAACTTTCATTTAATGTGGCTGCCATATTTAATTTTTCTTTTCTATCTATATACAGAAGGAAGAGTCATGCTATTGAGAAGAGACTCATACGAGCGAGGCACTTTGTGCTGCAGCTTAGTGCAATGCCTATTGGTTTGAAAAAAGCAGCTAGTGCTATCAAGTCACCTCTGGGAAACCAAATGTGCATTTGTTTTGAATTATATCCTTGTATTTTTTTTTTGCCATTGATCTGCCTTCT